TTATCTTTTACAATTATTTGAGAACAAAAACAAATTAATAAAAAAGACTTCCACATTAACATTCAGTGGTGTAAAAACCAAACTACTCACATTAAAACTTGAAACTCTTTGACAATGTGAACTTTGCTTGGTTTTATTGTGTTTATCAATAAAATGTGCAGAAAAAACATCTTCTTCAATCTCTGAATCTGATAACAACTCTATTCAAAAGAAATAATTATAATTTGAAATATAAATAATCCCTCAACCATACCTGTTACTTAATTTAATCTTTCAACCAATTTTGTACTCTTTCAATTTCTGAATTCAAACAATTTCAGCATGCTTTCAATTAATTTTCAATTTTCATATCAAGTTGATTAAAGGATTATTTAATACAATAGAATGTTGTCAATGATATAAATATATGTAACCAATTTAACAACATTACATATAATAGGACACCCAAATAGTTAAAATAAAAATCTTAGTTATACATAAAAAAGACTAATAGCTAGATAGATATTATTCAGATCAAATTAAACAAGAATCTATTTCAGTTTAAAAACCATTAAGAAAAAATTATAATATTTGTGTTATACACTTTTAGCATTGGGCTTATTCATAATAGGTGGCGAAAGTTCTGGCAATGAAGAGCGATATGATTTGTTATTCTTATTTTTAATGCTTTCTTTAGCATATATCTCATCTGATGTAGAAAGTTGTATTCTTCACAACATAAAAATGAATCTAATTATAAAACATTTTGCTACAAAAAAGTAATTAAGTTACCTTTAAAAAAAAAACACAAAACAGTTTAGATAATGACCATCTGTTATCTTACATTTAATCAATGAAAATTTGTGCCATTCTTTTGTTGACGAAAGGTTGTTTTTTAGTGCATGATTATAGTTTTTTTTGGACAATAAATTTGTTGCTATTCTTTGTCAATTCACTTGTTTAGTGCAACATTACTTGGTTAGAAAAAAATGCAGAAAAACTTTCCTTTAAAGTTGGCTTATGCTTATACTCATTAGGCTTTTGGTCATAAGAGTATTCATTGTACAAAATCGATGACTCATGATGGTCAAAATATTCTTTTAGATTTTCGCAAGATAAAAAATCACTTCTATTAGAAGTTCTAACATTCGATTTTTTTTTTATATGTACTGATGAAATTTCTAGTATTTTTTAATATTCCTTTTGGACACGCCTACTGCGTCTCTTTTTGTATGCCCGTTATGTAAAAGACATAAATGAATCTTGGTTCCTCGATAAAAACGATAAGTGCACAACCAATAAAACAATCTTTTGTGTTATTGAAAGTTACTCATATATATATATATATATATATATATATATATATATATATATATATATATTATATATATATATATATATATATATATATATATATATATATATATATATATATAAAGATATATATATATATATACATACATATATATATATATATATATATATATATATATATATATATATATATATATATTATATATATATATATATATATATATATATATATATGTATATATATATATATATATTTATATATATATATATATTATATATATATATATATATATATATATATATATATATATATATATATATATATATATATATATATATATATATATATATATATATATATATATATATATATATATATATATATATATCATATATATATATATATATATATATATATATAATATATATATATATATATATATATATATATATATATATATACATATATTTTAATTACATTATCTTTTATTCTAGAAATAAAAATATCAACTTGAAAATATTAATTTTATATTTCTGCAAAATAAATTTCAAATCACAAGGATTTTAGCAAACATGCTAAGCATCAAATCATAGAAATATTCTGTGAAATATAATAGCATGTTATTTTATTATTTAAAACTTATCAAAAGAAATAATCATTAATGTCTTCCATAGGTTAAAATCTTCATGATTTTTTCGAAATAAGATTTCGGAAAGTTTTTGAATGGCGGTCATTTATAATTATCGCCTCGTAAAATTAGTTAAAATGTTTTTCTTTTTATTTGTAACAAATCTATAAAAGAGATCTTATAAACATCTAAGTTTAGATAAAAAAAATTATCTATGCACGATATATTTTATGCATTTAATATGCATCTAAAACAGATCAAAAATAGTATCTCCAGAATCAGACGTCTTTTCGATCTCTAATATACGTCTAAATTAGATACAAATTAGACCAATTTTAGACGGTCTAAAAGACGTCTATTGTTTGCTGGAAATGGTCAACTATATGCTGCATTTTTAAGAACTATAGCATTTAATAGTTTGTTTTTTAAAATGTAACAAATATTGTTATATTTTTTAATGTTCTTAACTTATAGTCTTTAGATTTTCATTTATCTAACATAAATATTGCTATATTTTTTAATGTTCTTAATTTATAGTCTTTAGATTTTCATTTCAAAAATTTATTGTTAAAGGTTGTGAGCACATTTTGTATGTATAACTTTATTTATCATTATTTATTTTTTTTCATTGTTTTTGGTAAATATATCTATCATTCAATAGTTGTAAAATGTGTTTATACGTGTTACATAAAATCATATTTGTTTATAGTTGTTTATATGTTTAAATTATGAAAGCCAAAACATCAATTTATATCTTAGTTAGATTTTTTTTTAGTATTGCTTAAGTACTTTTAGTATTGCTTTGCTACTTCAAAACAGGTTTTATAGTTACATTTTTGATAAATCTTTAACTGCAATTTCAAAATAGGTTACTATAAATAGGTAAATCGATTTTTGGTAATTGTGTGGTGTTTTTTTTTTTTTTTTTTTTTTTTTTTTTTTTTGTTTGTTGTAATTATGATATCATAATTTCATTACTTTTTTCTTTTAGAACTACATTATGACGCTTTTGTAAGATTTAAAAATAACCTGATTTCTTTTTATTGTAAATTTTTATTAGTTAAAAAGATATAAATATATGCTATTAGTTAATAGAATGGGGAGTCGTAACTAAAAACCTTTAAAAATATGGAGAATATTGTAGTTTTGCGCATTAATATCGAGTTACTTAAGTTTTATTTATGTGTTTAACTAATTAGTTAGCTTAGTCGGTATTTGCAACACTTTTGAGGAAAGAAAAAAAACATTCATAAATATGTAGATCATTGTTTTACATTTTATCATTTTCTTTTATTCACCTGGCCACCATTAAAGCAAAAAAGAGGGAAGGAACCTCTTTATTAGAGTCAAAATATTTAGGAAAATTAAATTTCGAGTTACAAAAGGAATTTTTAGTAAATGGTGGCAAATTACCGTTTACTAAAAATTAATGAAATAAAGAGGACAAACTATTATAGAAATGCTCTGTGTTGAACAGACTTAACAAAACCCGGGTCGGATCAGCTTGGTTTACAAATTTTTATGTCTACTTATCTCTTATAATTTTTGTTTTAGGTTTGTCATATGATGCAATAATGTATTAAGTTTACATATTTTTTCAAATTTATTATACCCATGTTTGATAGTAAATTAAATTTTTTTTGTTTGAAACGTATTTGTACTTAGTTGCTTAGTTATTTATAATAAACTTTGTTATTTTTAATAAATTTATTTAAATGTGTGCATTAAACATTTTTAAGTTAACAATTTTCTTTTCTATAGAAAAATTAATCAAGGGGATACCAAAAAATTGATAACTCCTGTATATAATTTATTCTTTTTAACTTTATTTTAATCTTAATGGTTCGTGTTATAAAAATTATTACAAGGATTTCGTTGATACTTTCGTCAATATAAAGCATGACGAAGTGTTATTATTATGTGTCAGTAACTAAAAACGTATTGTGTTAAACTTAGGAAGGTCGATGAAAATGGTTCTGCCTTACACTGTTATGACCTATGCCATTTGTAAATTACTCAAATAATGTTAAGTAGTAATTGTAAATGTTAAGTAGTAGTTGGTAAATTATTTTACCTCTTCATACTTTTTATGTTAATTTTACAGATGGATTAATTTTTTCAAGCTGAAGGCGATTTTCTAAAAGGGTATTAGTTAAGGTTATGCAACATTAAATTGTGGAAAACAGCCACTATAAATTAATTATGTAACAGACCGACCAAAACCCGTATTACGGGTTGCTTTTTGCTAGTTTTAATTAATATCAAAATAGTCCCAGATTAATCTGTAAATTGCTTTGTTCATTGTTGCTTTATTTCTAATTTAATTTTATCTCTAAGTATAAATTTATGTTAAGAAAGAAAAGTTTTTATTTCATCGCTCGCTCTTTTTATAAAAGTAGAACAAAAAAGAAAGAAAAGTTTCGCGTAATTAAACTTCGAATGAATAAAAGAGTTGTATAGAATCTTTTTATTTTTTTTATTTTTGCGTCACTCGTTCTTTTTTTAGATGAGAGAAATAAAAGTTTATTAGTAACTTTTCTTTGAATAAATGAAAATTGGAAGAGAAAATTGCTTGAAAATTTGTATTTGTTGTGTTTTAAAATTTTTCACGTTAAAAGACAAATGCCAAATAGGATACAAATTGGGAAATAACTAATATAATATGTTTTTTACGCGCGTTATGGCATTTTGACAATTTAAATTACCATTTATCTTGAATTATTGCCATTAATTCATGTGTTAATTATTGCGTTATATAAAAATAATTTGTCCGTATTTTTGTTAAATATTAGTTGTATAAAACGGGCGAAAAAATATAAACTTCATGTTTTTATTTGATGGTTATAAAATATTGAACAGTAAACTAATACTCAAAATTTATAATGCCGACTTGTGTTGTTATTAATTCTACTTTTAATGCAAAACCAAAATCTCACAAATCCTTTCACGAATTTGCATATCTGATGCTACTGTCAACCCCTTTCCCCTTGCGGGCGTCCATGCTGTCAACTGTATTGTTTAGTGTATTCTTGAATTTTTTTTCATAACATTAACAGGTTCTAATTGGTATGGAGTTGCCGACATTTTAAAAGTTTCATTATCAAAAATCAAATGTAAAATAAAATGATATTTCCTTTTTATCCGTATTCAATTTAGCAAATTTAGCAATTTAAAATAAATCAGCGTAATCAAAAAATTTTTATAATAAAAAAAGTTAACAATTCATCTTATATCTCTAATTAATACTGTCAGTTTATGAAACTAATTGTTAATACTATTTTTTGACAGGAAAGTAAAAAATATCATAGCGTAAAAATAACCAGAGAAGTTAGAAAAAGATTCCGATTGTTTAAATAAAAATAAGTAAGATTCAGAATATATAATACTGCGCTCTTTTGCACAAAAACGAGAGACCGTATACATAACGTTCTATATAATGTAAAACACTCGTATGAAAATCATAAGATTCGTAAGTAAGGCTTTAATATTTGTTTTAATTTAAAAACAAAAGAAATATAAGTAAGATATATAAATCGAAAAGTAACTAAGATATCTGTAAAAAACAAGTTGCTCCTTTAAAATAAAAATAATTTATCATTTTTTCTTTTTACAAATTTTGTTTTGCGATGTTTAGAAAAATAAAAATTTTTTTTAATATAGATATATAATTTTAATATAATATAATTTTTTAAAAATAATAAATAATTTTTTTAATATACAGCAAAACAAATAAATTTGTTTTGCTGTATATTAAAAAAATACTACTGTAGAAAAACGCAGCTTAGTTTCATTACACTTTTCTTTTGTTAAAAGTCTACCGTGACGTCAAATACTAAAACTTTTATGAATTAAACGCGCTTCAAAGGAATTGCCAAAGTCTGTAGATTGCGACGCATAATTTGAAGACTCCGATTTATTTAAAAAAATGGAGAAGGCGAGCAAAAACAACAACATTTGTTTTTCACGGTAAGCATTCATTAATCAAAAAAACTTGGTTCAAAACTTTTTTTGAACATTATCTTTAATATGAACACAACATGTGTCGGGAGTTTGGGATCCCTTGAATGGTCCGTTTTTAATAGTTTTATAATTTTAACTAGCAGACCGTTTAATCCAGAAGCTATATTTGCATCTAAAGATTTGATAATTTTTGAAATTTTATGTTCGTCTGTTGGTTATATAAAGAAACTTTTTTGAGAACGATTTGATAAGTAATATGTGAATTAATTCATGGATGACGGAGTTGTTGCCTGGACATTTTTACCAATGTTAGTAAAGTAGTCGTTGAAAGCATTACAAATATCAAAGTTGTTTGAGAATTACTTTTAATGTTAACAATCTTTTTGATTCCTTTATATTTTTTATGTTTTCAGTAAAATAATTACTATTGTAATTTTTTTTGCTTTCTTTGAGTTTAGATAGGGGGTTATTACAAAATACTTATTGTCTATTATTTTTCAAAACTTTTTTCTAATATTTGTTTCCATTATTATACTGATTCCAATAGTAAAACTTCTCGGTATTGGACGTGCATGTACAAAACATTCAATTAACCTTATGTTTATACTAAACCTCAAAAAACGTTTCATAAATTTGTCATAAAAGAAATTTTTAACTTATCCCGTAATATTTTTTTAAGAATTTAAAACATTTTTCTAAAATATTGATTTGGAGTTGTAATCGAAGTTGAAGTTGGAGTCAGAGTTGTGCTCAAAAAGTTTCAACAACTGGAGTCGAAGTTGGAGTTGTACTTAAAAAGTTTCAACAACTGGTGTCGGAGTCGTTACTTTTTTTTTACAACTCCACACACCTGGTTATCAGTAACGGTTTAACATAAATCTAAATATTATTTGTTGTTGTTTATTTGTCAAAATTAAATAAGAATTTCTGTAAAACTTGAATGTTTGATTTATTTTCAGTGGGTTTACCTATAACTTAAGTGGATTATTTTTTTATTAGATTATTATTGCATGTATTTTATTTAGTCAAAATTATATTTTACTAGGTTTCCAATCTGCCTCGTTTGCCTTTGTCTGATTCTACATATAAAACTTAGCTGATTTAAAAAGTAGGTTTTCCAAAATATTATGGCAACTTCTGCGATGGAGTAATAAAAAAAATAACATGTAATTTTGAATTTTAGTTTGAGTTACTCAAGTAAAATTTGAATATTAAAATTGTTATTGCATTGTTTTGCTTTTTGGTTATGAGCTAAATATGTTAATCAATCTTTTTATTTTTGTTTGTAGAGTTGCAAAATGTTATTCTCAAGGAGCTTGTAGAAATAAAAGTTCTTTTAAAAAAAATTATAGAAATTAAGTTTCAGGCTAATGGGGTAAAGTTGCTAGAATCAGTGGACGAAGTGGTTACACTGGGTAATACACTAAAAGATAAAACCGAGTATACTAATTAGGTATTATCTAATTATCTTAATTTTTAATAAGTTTGTTTAATTTTGGTTTATTAGTTTAGAATCTAAATGAAAAGTATTTGTAAATGAACTAAAATAACTAGCTTGTGTTAGACTCAATATGTTGTAAAGAAATTTATGTTACACTAGTTTTTATTACATTTATTT